TGGGTGTTATATGTAAGTGATGAATTACTAAATTCTCCTAAAACCAATACTACATTGTATGTTAACTAATTTGAATTTAAATAAAATCTTGGAAGGGAAAAAAATGGTTAGTACCAAAAATATATAAAGAACTGACACAGTCAACACCCAAAAAACGAATAATCCAATTAAAAAAATGGTCTAAAGATATGAACAGACATTTCTCCAAAGAAGACATACAGATGGCCAAAAGACACATGAAAAGATGTTCATTATCACTTAACATCAGGGAAATGCAAAATCAAAACTACAATGAGATATTACTTCATACCTGTCAGAATGGCTAAAATAAAAAAACATAAGAAACAAGTGCTGGTGAAGATGTGGAATAAAAGTAATCCTACTGCACTGTTGGTCAGAATGCAAAGTGATGAAGCCACTCCGGAAAGCAGTATGGAAGTTCCTCAAAAAGTTAAAAATAGAACTGTCCTATGATCCAGTAATTGCACTACTGGATTTCCCTCCCATAATGCAAAAATATTTATTTGAAATGAAAGATGTGTATAGCAGTATTATTTACAATAGCCAAATTATGGAGGCAGCCCAAATATCCACTGATAGATGAATGGATAGGTAAGATGTGGAATATTTACACAAAGGAATATTACTCAGCCATGAAAAAGAATGTGATCTTGCCATTTGCAATGACACCAATGGAGCTAGAGTCTAAAACTAAGCAAAATAAGTCAGAGAAAGACAAATATCATATGACCTAATTCATATGTGTAATTTAAGAAACAAAAGAAAGCAGTAGAGTGAAGAGAGAGAGGGAGAGAGAAACAAAGAAACAGGCTCTTAACTATAGAGAAGAAACTGATGACTACCTGAAGGGAGGGTGGGGGAATAAGTGAAATAGGTGATGGAGATTAAGGAGTGCAGTTGTTATGATAAGTACTAGGTGATGTATGGAATTGTGGAATCACTATTTTGTATACCTGAAACTAATATAATACTGTCTATTAACTAAAGTAGAATTAAAATAAAATTAAAAAAAAATATTTATAGAGCACCTACTATATACCAGGTAGAGTTTTAGGTGCTAGAGATATAGCAGCAAATAAAACAAAGTCTCTGGTCCCATGAAGCTTCCAGTCTAGTGGAATGAAAGAAATAGTAACCAAATAAAAATACATTCTGTTAGTGCTATCTGACAAAATAATGGTATTCTTCAAATCTACTATGTGTTGTCTTGGGTCATTTTTGTTATATTGAGATTGCAACTCATTATGTTCTCAAAGCTGAGGATGCATATATTTCAACAATTGTAAGAGAAACTGTCATCTATTAGTACTTTAAATATCATTTCTCCACATTTTCTCTATTCTCTAATCTTAGAATTGTATTAGAATTTGCTGACCGTTTTCCTTTTATCCTCCTGTTACTACACACCTCTTTCATGATTTTTTCATCATTTGTCTGAAATGTGCACTGAACCATTTTTCTCATATGCATTTCTAGTTTACTAATCTCTCTTCATTGTTGTCTAGTCTCTTATGTAATATATCCATTGAGCTTTTTATTTTCAATGACTATATTTCTTTTACAGGTTATATATTTTATTTTTTTATTTTTATTTATTTGTTTTTGAGGGAGAGAGAGCAAGTCAGGGAGTGTCATAGAGAGGAGGAGAGAGAGAATGCCGCACAGGCTCTGTGCCACCAGCGCATATCCCACTGTAAAGCTCAAAATCACTAACTGTGAGATCATGACCTGAGCCAAAACCAAGAGCTGGACGCTTAAACAACTGAGCCACCAGGCACTCCTACAGATTGTATATATAAAATAAACCTTTTTAAAGTTTGTTTTTTCTTGCTCCCACCCCACAATGTATGGATTTTATGTTCTTAATCCCTACTTTGATGCCTCTATCATTTAAATTTTAAAATATTTTTAAGTTTATTGTTTTATTTAGAGAGAGTATAAGAGTGAGTGAGAGAGCATGAGTGGGGGAGGGGCAGAGAGAGAGAGGAAGAGAGAGAATCCCAAACAGACTCTCCACTATCAGCACAGAGCCTGATGCGGGGGTCAGGCTCACAAACTGTGAAATCATGATCTGAGTCTAAATCAAGAGTCAGAGGCTTAACAGACTGAGACACCCAGGTGCCCCTTTTATCATTTTAATTTAGTTCCTTTATAGTATCTTTTTGATATAGGAAGTTCTTTGAGGGAGTTTAATTCAGTTATATGTTGTATCAGTTCTCACTCATGACCACTTCCTTATGTATTCTATTTTTGATTGTGAGCTTATTTTCAGCAAGCATTTATTTGTGGTCATGTCCTTCCAGATTGCTTTTGTGTTTGCTTTTGCAAGTTACTATAGAGGTATCCCCACATTGAGACACATTCCTGTGTTAATTTTTCAGTCTGTAAACTCAAAACCAGGCAGATACTGTTTATTTAAACTTCAGTGTCATATAAAATTAGGCTTAAGGCTGCTAAATCTCAGTAGAAATGCTTCCCCTAAGCCCCTCTAATTCAGAAACCATGTCTGGATTGATAAATTTCCTTTTTTGAATTTTCATATTGTGGACTGATTTTGTCTAGTTCATTTTATCGATCACCCTTTTGCCTAGTTGGAGTCATCCAGGGTCTTGGTTTTATGTGGGAGTCTAGTTCCAGCATTCGCTTGGCACAGTCCTGGTTTTCACTTGTTATCCTGGTATAATTTTTGATAAAATCTCTTCTGACTATCAAAAGTATCTCGGTTTAGAAAATATTTATATAGGGGTGCCTGGGTGGCTCAGTCGGTTAAGGTCCGACTTTCGCTTAGGTCATGATCTCGCGGTTCGTGGGTTCGAGCCCCGCGTCGGGCTCTGTGCTGACTGCCAGCTCGGAGCCTGGAGCCTATTTCAGAGTCTGTGTCTCCCTCTCTCTCTGACCCTCCCCTGCTCACGCTGTCTCTCTCTCTCTCTCTCTCCTAGAAATAAAAAAAAGAAAATATTTATATAATCTTCTAATCCTTAGTCAGGAATGTGCTCAGTATGCTGGAGGATAAGAAAAGCCAGACTGGCTAATTTGTAGAGGGAATAATGGTTAAAGAATAGCTCAGAGAAGAATGGAACACTCAATTTATGAAGTACTTTCTAGGTAAGGGAAGGATATTGAAATTTATTTCAGGTATGATTAAAAACAATTAAGGAATTTTAAGCCATAGGTTTTTAGGCAGCTCTGGCTGCTTCTTTATTTTACCTAACTACTTAAAATTATCCCCTATGCCTTGTGTAGTTTAGCAGCCAAATATTTGGGCAAGGTTTGCACTCAGCTTTGGGGACTCACTCTCTCAGTGGTTCTCTTGCTTCCAGGTCTTTCTCCTGAATCTTCAGCTCTTTGGCCAGCCTTGGGTTCTATTCTTTGAAATACTAAGCCAATACATTTTGCAATTTCTGTCCATCTTATAAACATTACTCAGCACAATTTTGCCATCTGTCATTTAGTGGGAGACTTCCCTATGGTTTCTGCCTGTATTTTTTTTTTTTATTTATTTCTAGGAGAGAGAGACAGCGTGAGCAGGGGAGGGTCAGAGAGAGAGGGAGTCACAGACTGAAACAGGCTCCAGGCTCCGAGCTGGCAGTCAGCACAGAGCCCGACGCGGGGCTCGAACCCACGAACCGCGAGATCATGACCTAAGCGAAAGTCGGATGCTTAACCGACTAAGCCACCCAGGCGCCCCTGCCTGTATTTTTTTTTAACAGAGCCTGGAGTCTTGCTCATGTGTGTATAGTGTAAAGGTCAGCCAAAATTTGGGGCAAAGTATATATGCAGATTTGAGGTCCCATCCCTTCTGTAACTCCCTTGGTTTCAGGAGTACAACCCCTAAATTTTCAGATTATCTGCAGTCTTGAGCCAGTAAAGCTATGGTATCTGCCACAAGAATTCTAGTTTTGGGGGAACAACCATTGCTGCTGCCATCTTTCAAGGGTAAATTTTCCTCAAGTTTTTGTCTGCTTTCAGTTGTGCCACATTGCTTTTCAGTAGGTTCTCCCTCCCTCCTTGCCCCCTTCTCCTTCTAGCTCTCTAATTTATAGGTTCAAATTTTATAATAGTTACAAGAACGTATAGCAAGCAATTTGGTCTGCTGTTACCAAAAGATGAAACATTTATTGTTATTTTATTTTATTATTAAAAAATTTCTTTAATGTCTATTCATTTTTGAGAGGCAGAGAGAGACTTATTATGAGCAAGGGAGAAGCAGAGAGAGAGGGAGACACAGAATCTGAAGCAGGTTCCAGGCTCTGAGCTGTCAGCACAGAGCCTGACATGAGGCTCGAACCCATGAACCATGAGATCATGACCCGAGCTGAAGTCAGATGCCTAGCCAACTGAGCCACTCAGGCACCCCGCATTTATTGTTATTTCAAATTGTGTTCAGATTAATAACAGTTTTGAAATTGTTTAAGTTTATTAGCACTTTATGAATTCTGTTATGTAATTTACCCATTTTTCTATTTGTTTTTATCTTATTTATAGTTGAGTTCCTTATTTATTGAAGATAATAAAATATAAACTCATCAGATATATTGTTTTGTGAGGCTTAAATGTGTTTTAAAGTTTATAGTTTTGATTTTATGGTGGTTTTATATTGGTCTTTGATGTTCATATGGGATCATGTAATAAAAGAGACAAGGAAAGGAGTTTGTTCTTATTACAGATCTCACTGCATAGAGAAAGGAACTGTTGCCTTTCCATAAGGCAAAGTCTTGTGGTAATCTTGTATGATGTGCAGGGCAGTGTTGGCAGTCACTTTCCTGAGCAAAATATTGTCAGATGTATTAGTTTCATACTTATTGATCACCATACAATATTTTTCAATCATAATCATTTGCCATACTTGCCAGTAAGTACTATAAGTAGACTGCTGCTTCTTTGCATTGGAGGAAATATTGCAAGGTGATTAATACTAAGGGCACTGCAGGTCATCACCAGAACTATGTTCAAACATTGTTCTCTCTTTTTGTCCCTAGGAGTACACCATTGATGTATTTTTTCGACAGACATGGCATGATGAAAGACTTAAATTTGATGGACCCATGAAAATCCTTCCACTGAACAATCTCCTGGCTAGCAAGATCTGGACCCCTGACACCTTCTTTCATAATGGCAAGAAATCAGTAGCCCATAACATGACCACACCTAACAAGCTGCTCAGACTGGTGGACAATGGAACCCTCCTCTACACAATGAGGTCAGAGAGTGGTGCCCCTCCATCTAAAGTATAGTGGGGGTGAGACTGGTCTTTGAAAGCATCATGTTTTGGGCTTGAAAGCAGCATGTTTAAGCTATCCATCGAAAAGTCTGTCAAGTGTTAAGGTTAGAAATGCACATATAGGTATATACTTCTTAACATATTTGCAGGCATACACATTCACAGACATATATATTATAGATACATATATAGATAGAGTTGGACATATGAACATTCTAATATATACAGATATATGTTCATGATGTATAAATGCATGCATACTCAGAGATGCATGTGGGTTAACACATAAGCATACACATATTCAAGGACACTTAAATACACAAACTCATAGCCATATACATAGACAGAACACAATGATAGAATAGACTGTTTAATTGCAGCAACAAACTTTCCTTATTATGCAGAATTGTGAAAATCAAATGAGATAATGATGGATAGTTTCTGAAACATACAATGTTATAGATAATATATACACAAAATTATAACAAGACATATTTTATCCCACATTGTCTGGGAATGCTGAGGAGTTTGCTGTAACTGAGGTTTCTAAACAACTTAAGAATGTTTCTTTTAAATATATATAGTATATGCATAGTACACATACAAAATTATACATAGTATATAAAATTATATATAAATGATATTTAATATAGATTTATAATTATATGTACTATATATAATTTTGCCTTAAAAAATAATGGCTTTAAAAACATTTCCAGTTCCATAATATTCTTTGCCCCAATGCTAAAAAACTTTCTTGATTCTTGTTTTATGTTTTTGCTAGCTCCTATGCTGTCAGTTCTGAAGCTCCCTCCCACGTTAATGAGTGTTAACTTTAGGTAGCTGAATTACCATCACTGAATGGAAAAATGTGATCCTTCAGTGCAGATTCTGTGGCTGTTTTTAAATTTGTGTATTTGTTATTTTATACAATGAAACTGAAATAATACATGCCTGGTAAACAGGTATTCAATATACAAAGTGTCCTTGCCCATATGTTAGTCCTTAGTTACCTTAAATTTGCTATTTATTGATATTTTTCCTGAAAAAAAAAAAAGGTAGATAAGACGAGATAGGCAAAGAATGGATAGCAAATGGATAATTAAGAGAAAAGTTGAATTAGAGAGGAGGAGTTGAGAGACTAGAGGAGAGGTGAGGATAGAGGCAAGAATGATGGAGCAAAGAAAGAAGGAAAGTGGACAGGAAAGGGGAAAAGAAGGTAGAGAGAGGAAGGGAAGTATAAACCAGAAGAAAAGTAAATAAAATTAACGTGTATATTTTATTGATCTCTTCCCAGATCTTATATATTTACGTATATGTGTGTATATATGTGTATGTTGCTCCTGGTTAGTATTGAGATTCATTTTTGTACTATTAGAATGTAGTCAAGAAAATTGTTGGTATAAAGTGCAAGAAAGAGAGGAAGGACATTTTAGGTGAAGAAAACAAAGTGAACAGTTATGGGAAATGGAATGGTTTCCTTCAACAAAAGCAAGAGAATGAGGTGGTCAGTTTTTAATTTTATATATGGCACTCTAGTTACTTGTGTAAAGGATGTATTTGAAGAGAACAAAACTGGAATTAGGGAAACTGGTTAGTAGATAGCTTAAATAGTCTAGGCAAGTAGTAGTGAAATTCTAATTCAGAACAGTGGATTAAAATGGAGAAAGAGAGATACACTGAGGAAAGAGTAAAAACAGCCAATGTTAGAACCACAGGGGGGACAGGAGTCAAGGTAGTACATACTCAAATAACATAGGTGAATGATGGTACTACAGAATAAGGCGGATCATGAAAAGCAGGAGAAATTTAGGTAGGATAAATCTGCAAGGTAAATTTTGGGCAAGATAAGCTTTAAATGATTTTATATTATCCAGGGATAGGGGTCTAAGAGTGGTTGGATATACAAATTTGAAGGTTAAAAGACAGATACAAGCTAGAGATGTAAAGTTTGGTATTGTCAGCATATTGGGACAACCATATGAACGGATGTGATCACTTCAGGAAAGTTTGCAGAGTGAGAAAATCATACCAGGGATCAAATCATGTAGTATCATTATTACAACAGAAAGAGAGAAAGAGGAACCGATAAAAGACTAAGAAGAAAAAGTAAGGAAGGTGTTAATAGGAATCCTAGTGTATAGAATTTTTAAATCTAAGTGTAATAGTCAGTACTGCTACTTAATCTCCAATTCATGTCCTTCTGGGTACATGGTAGTACTTTACTTCCATAGCGCCTTGAAGTTAGGCATGTATAGGTAACTTTGACTAACCAGATGTGACTGGAAATATCATGTGTAGTTTCTGAGGGAGGCTGGGAAACTTTTAAGAGCAGTACATAATTTTCCATGTTCCCCTGTCCTGGCCACAGTGAGTAGCATTATGACAGGTGGCCTTGACTCTATCATTCTGTGTTCCTTATTGAAGATTATTTAGAAGAGAATGCCCCTCCTCACAACCTGAGATGGACATGTAGTGTGAGTAAGAAACAAATCTTTATTGTTTTAGGACACTGAAATTTTAGGATTTTTTGTTACTGTGTATTAACCTAACCTATTTTGACTGATACACCAAAGGAAAAAAGGGCTTCGAAAAAGATGGCAGAGATCAATGATAATAACATCAATAATAGCATAAGTACAAAAGTTAACATCAGTATAGTATTTCCAATGTGCTATAGACTATTCTTATCACTCCACTATTATAAACTAATGACATTGTAAGATAGGTACTATTATTCCCACATTTCATATGAGAAAACTGAGACAAGAGTGGGTAAGAAAAAAAATTAGGATCACCTAGGGAATAAATGGTTGAACCAGCATTCATACTCTGGCAGTTTGGCTGCAAGTTCATCCTCTTTACTATTATTTATACATTTTTACAACATTTTTGGTTATTACAAAGAGATCAAGAATATAGAGGATTAAATGTATTAGGTTTGGCAACATAGAAGACATTGGCAGTCTTCACATACACTGTTTCAATGTATTGTTTAGTGTACCAGTGAGTTTTTAGGAGTTGGCATAGAAGTAGTGAAGATAGTAAACAAAATACTTTCTGAGACCTTATTTGAAAATGAAAGTAATGAATATATAATAGATACATTTGGGGTAAAGTAAATAGTTGCTTTTTTAAATGTAGGGACTGGCACTTATTTGTGAGATAGCAGAAAGTGGACATCAGAGAGACAAAGACTGAAGATATAGTAGAAAAGGGTTTTTGCTGACATCACATTCCCAGACAAAATCAGAAGGAGGATGGTATTAAAATTACTGTGAAAGTTTTACTTGAAAAGGAAGAGGGACACCTCTTCTCACACTACATAAAAGGACAAGAGGTTAGATATAAATGTTGAAAAGGAGGTGGGGAGGATAGGACAGAGAAGAAACATGAATAGTTATAATGTATGAAGGAGAATTTGGATAAAATTGAGCATACGTGGAGAAATATAAGAGTGAAATACTTGTAACAAAGTGTATAAAAGAGAAGAGTTTGAAGAGGAGGTGGGAGTGTTTACAGTTGTGGAAAGAATGAAGCAGACTATATATTAACAGAGGAGGAGATTGTGGAATGAGTTAGTTGGTGTGGGTGGGTAAAAATCCATAAGAAAATGAAGAGAAAGTGAGGAGCAGGAAATAAAATCAACACATAGAGATTGAGGAGGAAGAATAGAGAATGAATGAAGAGAACAGGATATTGACGAAAGTAAATAATAACAGAAAAAGAGGATCGAGTATAGGTTTGAGTTTTGGAGGAGCGATAGAAAAAAAAAGAAGAAAGGAGAGGGGAAGATAGGAATGTTGAAATATGAAGAAGATAGAAATATGATGAGATATAAAGATTGATGAGGGCAGCAGATGAAGCATACCAAAGGATTAGTCACCAGAAAATAAATATGAATGAGTAGAAGATGACCATTAAGTCCTTCATCCCAGCCTGAATTGGACAAGAAAATGGAGTTTGATAAAATAGGAATCTATGTGTAATGCCTGTGTGTTTATTCTGAAGTACAGTAGTTCAGAAGCATTATAAAGCTATTGGTTACCTTACATAGTAAATGATTCACTTTGGACCCAGGAGGGTGGGTCTGGAGGGAGACCTAGGTTTTCAAAACTGAAAATATTAAAGCTTGTTATATGGTCCTACAATTTATTCATCTAGTGACCTTTTGCAAGACACAAATTATCTGCTGTCTTATTCTGATAATAATGTAGCTGCTGCCTGTCTTGCAGACACATGAAAAGTGCAAATTAGATAAGGTCTAAAAGAACACTTAAAATTTTTCAGGAAGTGTTATTCTAAAGTATTATTATTATTATTATTATTACCCTTGGAGATCTTATCCTGATTCCATGGAAAACTACAGAGGGTGGGCGGCTGGGTGGCTCATTTGGTTGAGCGTTCTATTTTGGCTCAGGTAATGATATCGCTGTTCCTGAGTTTGAGCCCTGTGTCAGGCTCTGTGCTCATAGCTTGGAGCCTGGAGCCTGCTTCAGATTCTGTGTCTCCTCCTTTCTCTGCCCTTCCCATGCTCATGCTCTCTCTGTCTCTCAATAAATAAAATGTTAAAAAAATTAAAAAAAAAAAAAGAAAACTACAGAGGGTAAGCTTCAGAAAAATCTGACCAAAGATTGAATAGCTATGTAACTAGGGCAATTTAGAATGAAACCTTCATCTTGGAACCTCAGGATAACCATAAAAATGGAGGCCAAAGCTCATTACCTGCTGCTTGCTTCAGCAGCATACATACTAAAATTAAAACAGTACAGCGAAAATGAACAGAACACAGATCAGGATAATACATACATTTATGACGTATTTTCCTTTTTTTAGACATAGATATATAGGATAATTCATTTCTATTAATGACCCTTATTAAAGCAGATATGGGTAAACATGTTCATTGTATTTTTCTTTATACATATTATATGTAAATGTTGCATAATATATAATGCAGTAAAAACAAGTTCCACTGA